CCCATGATAACATATGTTGGGATTCCATTCCAGCCTTCGTTCCAGCAACAGCTGAAATGCCATAATCCTACCATCTTGTGCTATGCAGTTGCTCTCCAAAAGCCACACAAACTTTGATTTTTGCTGGTGCTACATTTCTTCTTAGCAATGTCTTTCCCTCCTTAGTTTTCTCAGTATGTTGGGACAGAAGTTAACCAAGGGTGCCACTCGTTTCTCTGTTAGGGCAGATACTCATCCTTCCTGCCCATTTTTATTTTATTTTATTTTATTGCATTTCCTTCGAGATGAGAGGCCTCTTACAGATTTGCTTTCACCTTGTGGTGTAAAATGTTCCTTCTAGCCCCTGACCTTTGTAGAATCTCATTTGTCCATATGGCATGTGAGAGAAACCGGAGCGGCTCTTTAACAAATAAATAGGCAAGGTGCTATTTTAATATGTGAATGCTCTATGGTGAAGTGTAGGAGCTGCTTCTGCAGAAAAAAGCTGCACAGTCAGAAAATAGCCTCACTGAGATAGTGGCTTTCCCCTGTTGCACCCAAGCTATAGCAAAAGTATCTGGTCATATCAGTAGTTAACCACATTCAAGCAAAGTGCTTTTGTTTCAGCAGTTTTCCTGGAAGCACCATTTCCAGCGCCCATGAAGTTCAGTGGGTGGGTTTTGAGCAAATTGCTGCATGCCAGCCTAACCTACTTGCCAGTGGTGTTAGCAGGCTTAACTGCTATATTGAGCTCCTTTAGAGGGCAAGGCAGCATTCAGATGTGTTGGAAAGTGGCAAATGCTGGATTTCATCATTTGGAGGTGACATTTAGAAAGCCATCCTCATCTCCGCAGAACGAAAGGCAAACATTGCTATCACTGAAGATGTTTCTAGTCTCCATAGCAACTTCTTGCTGCTTGCATATGTCTGCAGGCAAAGTGACCTTGAAGTTTGCTATGAGAGCTTTATCTTGTCCTGCCTGTGATGAACTCAGGGCGGCGTGTGTCATTCCTATCTCCGCTTATTCACACAGCAGCCTTGTGAGGTAGGTTAGCCTGCTTCAGATGATCTTGCCAGGCTTCATAAACCATGGACTAAGCACTGCTCCCTCGACGGGCTCTTCCTCCTCTTTCACACTGGCTTTAGCGCTTCATTCCTGACTTGCACTGAGCCAAGGTTCATTGTTAACACCAGAGCCAGGGACTGGTGCTGCTCATCAGTTAACAAATCATGATGAGAAACGGAAGCCTATGCAGAGGGGAGGGAAGGCAGCATGTCTGAACCAGGCCAGTAACTGGCCCAAGTTTACCCAGCAAGCTGTTTGGGCTGAGTGGGGATTTCAACTCTGATCTCCCAAGTCTTCACTTTAGCTCTCAAGTGTAGGCTAGTTCATGCATATTCATGTTTTAATGAGTGCAACATTAAGGTGGTGATGTGTGTACCAATGAGCCATTGTGGAACAAGATGCCAGGCGTCAATCCAAGGCTAGGGTGTTTGCGTGGAGCCGATTCACAGCTGCAGCTTTTGAGTTACCCAGTGTTTGGATCAGAAATTAAGTGCTGGCTATGCATGTGTGAGAGGAATCTGACCTGTAAGGGCTAGCAGTGTGCAAATTCTCAATGTGTCATAGTTGCAAATACTTTGGTGAGAGGTTCAAGGCACAGATGGCTTGGTAATCACCAACAATGATTATTTAAAAATCTAGTTTTTTAGTGTCCAAAGTGCTTTATGTTATGTACCTTCATAACCACCCTTATAATTACTTCTGAGAATGTAGTGATTGTAGAGAAGCACAGGCAAAACCTGGTGGAATTCCACCATGAATTGTGCTGTTTACCTTGACACCAGGACTCGAAATATCTGGCCTGTAGGATCCCAGTTCACCATCCTTGTGCTTCCAGGCCTGCTGTCCTCCGCATTATTTACTTCCCATGCCATGTATGCAGCAGCTACATGTACTACATAGTCCATGATGCAGCACAACTCAGAGTTCACAAGGGCATCTGGGGGCTAGCTAAAGTTAAAAATGTGCACCAGAGTATAGAGGGGACTAGCAGAAGCCATGCAGGTTCCTGTACGCTTTCTGCTCAAATTTAGCAAATTGATTCCACCAAAATCGCATACCCCTGGTTCCATTTTGGGTAGAATTAGGCTGCAACCCTAGCTGTAATCCTAAATGAGATGTGGCGTGCTGAGAGTGGCAGGCTTGAATCTGGAAATGGAACCCTGCTGGAATTCTTACATTTGTAGTTTCCCTCTCATTGGGAATGGACTCTTGTTTTGAAAACCATAGAATTCTCTGTACTAGAGCAGAGAGACTGTCACAACTGGAGATTTTATCCACGCGTCGTAGTGTCCTTTTGGTCTGGCAGTGGTTGCAGTGTTGGCCTCAAGTGTCTGGTAAATGCAGAGTATAAAAAAATTATATACCTGACTGCTTTGAAATGTCTATAGGAGTTTTAGAACGTCAAACTCATCAGGCACATTGATGACCACTTTTGCTTGAAATGTGAAGGTTTATATAGGCTCAAGCTCTGTCAGATTGCGGATTGGTTTCTGCAATTGGAAGCGAGTGGCGATTATTAGCGCCTGCGCCCTCCAGCGCAATGACATGCTAATGGATTCTGCGGGGTTTCAACAAAGGGGGATTTTTCATAAGACAAATTCCAAAAAAGACTTAAAAGGACAGAAATGTTGTTCATGCTGATAGGGACATAAAACAACTGTAACACAAAACACCAAAAAATGGAAATGCCTATAATTTGTGATACAATTGAATTAGCCACAAATGTGCTGTGTGCTCCACACTCCGCATTTTCTAATGCACATCTTACAGCCATTCCATTGAGGCCTTGAAAAGGGGTGTGTGGAGATGTGGAATTTAAAACTTAGCAAAGCTAAACTATTTGCTACACTGTTATGCATTGTTCTTTTATGCAAATATTTGCTGTAAAGTTTTATTTTTCACTTTATTTTGTAAATAACCTTTAAATGTGTAACATATGATAAAAGAGTTTATAAGGATTTTTTTTTAAATGAAGACTGTTTTGTTTTGCTCCTTTTAAAAACCCAGTTATATTGACAGTGTTGATTTTTTTTTTAAAGCACCTGCCTGCCTGCATGGTTTGTCCCTCTTCCCACCTTCACTGTGTTGTACAATGTCAGACATATATATATGGTCAAACGAAACAACTGAAGAAACCCAAACTCTGCTTTGAGGATCTCCTCAGAATTACAGTGATATACATATTGGAAATAAACTGGCTTATTCAGAGAATGTTTGCTCACTTTCTTTCTTTTTTCCAAAACAAAGAACCATAACCTGAAGGCCCTTTTTGGCCTGAGAGCCACATTCATTCATAAGCAACCTTATGAGGGCCACATGTCCCCAGTAGGTGGGGCTAGAGACAGAAAGCAGATGAAGAGGCAGATGTGACTTTCCTTTGGACACTAGGCTGCATTCCAGCCGTGCAAAGAACAAGATGCAGGTGTATCTACACAAACACGCCATCATCATCTAGGTATGCAAGATATACCAGCAAAAACACTCTAGGAAGGCTGCTGAGAAAAGCCTGTGGGGCTGCATTTAACCCACCAGAAGAAGAAGAAGAGTTCGGATTTGATATCCCGCTTTATCACTACCCGAAGGAGTCTCAAAGCGGCTAACATTCTCCTTTCCCTTCCTCCCCCACAACAAACACTCTGTGAGGTGAGTGAGGCTGAGAGACTTCAGAGAAGTGTGACTAGCCCAAGGTCACCCAGCAGCTGCATGTGGAGGAGCGGGGAAGCGAACCCGGTTCACCAGATTACGAGTCCATCGCTCTTAACCACACCACCACACTGGCTCTCACCTCCAGGGCCTGATTTTGTCCACCCCTGCTCTAGAATACACCGTATACTTCACTTGGCCTGCTACACAAGTATACAGAGACTGCATAGGGAGTGGGGAGAAGAGCTCTTTCTCACAGTCTGTTAATTTCACTGCAGCTTGTTCTGAATAAATTTAGGTGCCACCCTCTCGGGTCACATCACTCCTTCCTTCAGCATTTCAACCCAGAGATGGAGAGGGCATGTGCCACCCACACAGAAACACTTTGCTTTTCTCAGTATTTTTGTAGAATAGAATCGTATCCAGCAGAATTGACCCAAGACTTGAAAAGTACATAGAACGGAAAGAGCATTTTTCCAATATCCTCCATCAGCTTTATGCTCTTTTCAAGGGAGAAAGGGGTAACCAACCTCATGACAGAGGGGGACTGGGGGACGGGCTCAGAGGCTTTGAGGGCACCAGGAGAACATCTCAAGTGAGTCATTGTGACGACAGGCGCCATGTTGGTGATCCCAGACCGTCCTTGAGTACACACATTGCCCCACAAATACCAAACAGCACAATGGAATATCTGCCGAGTTTGCTTTTTAAAGAAAGAAGTGTCACGGGAAGGGGGGGGAGAGAGTATTTTATTAAAGTCAGACACTCTGATAGGAAACAAAACAAAAAAAGGGGGAAATTAAAAAAAAGCAACCTTCATTTGGAATTTTTGACTAACAATGATCACATTGTTCACAGAAGAAAACATGGCATCCATAGAATTTATACATAGAACTCTACCTACAGATAGCAGCAAAAAGATTTACAAAAGTTACAGATTTTTTTTAGAACTGTTGCTTTCTTTTATAACCAGTTTTGGTGTGGTGTCATTTATAGCGTTGGTTTTTGTTTTCTTTAAAAAAATCAGTTCACAATAAAATCCATGCGAAGAGACACACAACATCATCATCAGTCCTCCCTACACAGTGCCTAAAGGTTTCGCTCTCTTTTTTATTTTTATTATTTTATATATATATATATATTAAAAAACCCTTTCTTATTATTTTTTCTTTAAAAAAAAAAATCTGAAAATAACAACCAGACAAGTAAAGCGAGGCTCGTGGCATGCAGTGGTGATTGCTTTCCCCCCCAAAACACACACAGACACACTCACTCACTCACTCACTCAATAATACATGCATAGCTTGGTGCTTTATAATTTACGCATTTGGGGGGGGAAAAAGTTCAAAACCTTTTTCAAAAAATAAAAATTGTGGCACAATTGTTGCTCACACAGCAGTTGGATGATGCCATGACAGTGACACTCACACTCACACACTCCCAAGTGCAGCAACACACAATGAAAGGACAAATGTGCTTCAGACAAGGAAAATGGATGGAACTTAAAAGGGAATGGTTTCATGAAACCACTGTCTCCCTTACATCGTCCCTTTTTTGTCCTATTTTTCATTGGTCTTTGATTTGTGACAGTGTGTCCATGTTGCAAGCCTAGGGTGATGCAAAACACTTTTTGCTGATAAGGCAGAAAATCAAAACGATTTCCCGCCGCCCCCTCCAAATATTCATCAAAGTGGGAAAGCATTCCCCTGCACAAGGCTTGCTTCAAATGAGCAGGATAGCACCTCTTCACTTTAATGGTGCTCTGTCTGTCTCTCGCTGCTACTTTTATTAGGGACAAAAGGCTATCACTGCACCTTACCGCGCGATAAGGCTAGCCCGTGCCCATGTATGCGCCATTCCCTGCATATGGTAGTCTGCACATCACTACGCGCAAAGGCATAGCAACATGCATCTTCCCTTGCTCAGAGGACAAAACAATGGATTCTCCAAGGAGGTCTGCATGGATCCCAACAAAGTCATCCCATTAGTGGAAGGACTCCCACCAGTCCAGCGTGATTTCCTCTCCCTCTCTTCTCCCTGAATATCCCCTAAGCTCCTCCCCCAATCTGCTCCAGAGGGTCGGGGAAAACTCCAGAACAGATTTGTGGGGGGAGGCACTGGAAGAGGGGGAGAGGAAGCCCAATTGAACAATCAGTTGTTCTTGTGCTAGTGGAGTTAATGGGAACATTTGGTTTCCCCACACATTGCTAAACTCCAACTCCCATAGCCTGGGTTGATAGGAGCTGGGGTTCAGTAACATTGCGGGGGGGTGGGGAGATTCCCCACACCTGCGTTAACGTGATAACTTTGCTGGATACAACCCCTTTGTGATCAAGTGCAGCCCCAACTGAGCTTTGGCAAGGCTGCATCATCAGATAATCCAAGACCTGGTAAGGCTAAAGAAGGTGAAAACAGTGCATTCAGAATGACTGTAAAAGCTATTACCAGAAAAACAGCATTCTCTCTCCCTTTTCCACATCAACAGAGCAGGGATCTAACAAATGCTAACACTTAACATCAACTGGACAGTTACAGCCTCTGTGTATCGTGGGCAAAATGTGGGGGAACATTTCCCACTGTTCCCCTGTAAATTGGGTACTCGTTAACAAAGTTTTGTATTTTTTTCTACCCTTTAGTACTCACTCTCACTCAGCACTTAAGCATGTGCTGGGTAGGGATTTTGATTCATGCTAGGACCATGTGTGTAGACATAGCAGATGAGGGCTGTATTGGCTCCCCATCACTTTCAGTCTGAGTCTGATTTTCCTTGTGTCCTGGTGATTATGTGCAATGACTAAAAACACAAAAAGGAATTCCCAGCAGCAAGCTGCGCATGTACCGCCCAAAATAAATTACAGAATTCTCCAGATTAAATCTGAAGAGAGGTGGAGCAGAAGGCAGGAGTGCAGAGAGCCCGTGGAGCAAGAACGGACTGAAATGAGGGGAAATCCACTCATCCCTTAGTCACAGCAGCTGTGGTTAAGTGAGCAGAGAAAATGCTGAATTTCCCTCTCCTTCCAGTGCATGCTGATGGGTTAACCGGGGTTTCTACATCCACATTATTGAGTGTGAGTAAATAAACCAGAGCCGGCAGATGATAACTCTTAATCCAGATTAACTGTAGCAGAGTCTGAGTGATCCTATGCTGTAAAGGCTCTCAACCCTAAAGCACCGTCTGTGCTCTAAAACCCTGTGCTTTAGATTTTGCAACTCTGCAGAACTAGCATTGCCTCCAATGCATCCATGGTTGTGAAGTGTATCTCCAGTTTTGAACTAAAGCGATTGATCGTTTTTCTCCCAGTCCCTTGGATTCTGACCCCGTGTGCCTGTTCTGCAGATGAAATGGCTGTTTACTTCCTCCCCTTCATATGCCACTCTCCAGACATTTTGGACTACAACTTCCACCAGCCCCAGGCTGTGTTGGAAGGTGCAGTCTGAAATATCTGGCGAGAACCAGATTGAGGAAGTCTGCCTAAGAGGTGTTTGGCCACCTCAAGCTACTCCTTATTATGTGAGTGCATAGCTATTTGGAAATTGGTCTTACTCCAGAATCATGTCTCTGTGTGTGCCTTAAACAAGCATCCCTTCTCTTCTGAAGCCTCACAGAACAGACATTGTAAGGGCAATTCTACACACTTTTTTCTACCTCTTTAACTGCCATGGAGTCCTCCCCAAAATCCTATAAAAGATAGTTTGCTGAGCTGCTAAGAATTCTGCATGAAAGATCCCTACCCTGTCTCACAGAACAGGGTTCCCTGGGGAGGCGAAAGGCCTTTAAACCCTTGAGGCAAATGCCAACACAACAATGCCAAGGCAACTCACACATTGCCAGAAAGGAGGAAATGCATTCACGCAAAAGGGGAGATGGGCTTTCACAAAAATGTGCATGCGTAGATATAAATTTAGAAACAGCTGTTATAATTTCAAATAGAAATGCAAAGCATCTCACCATGATGGGGAAGTCGGTGACCAGGTGGCCCGCTCTGTCTCCGCTCTCCTTTCCAGGCAGCGACAAGATGGGCAACTTTTAGGCGCCTGCTCGCTCTCCCTTGCAAGGATTCTTTACCTTTAAACCCAACTTGGATGCAACTGCCCTGTAAGTAGAGGACTCCTCCCAACACTGTGTAGAGTAGGCCACCCTACTGGGGTGGGGAAGCCAGTTATGAAGCAGACATGCCTTTAAAGCCCCTGGTCAGTGGCTCAAAACCCTGCCTCCCCTCCCCTGCTCTGTCAGGCCTTGGTCCCTGAGGGCTGCAAAACAATAGAATTCTCACGAAAAAAGATGCAATGGGATAGGGGACACTGTCGGCTCCATTCGTGCCAGTGATGGACATAGAGAGGGAATATGAAAATAACAGACAATCGGAAACAGACAATAACAAGCCCCAGAGATGGAATGTTAGCTTTGCGGAAGGGTTTCTAAACTCTGAAAGGCCCAGCCCAGCAGGGAACGACTCTGGCGTGAGCCCCATAGACGGGATTGGAGCTGCCCAAGAGCAAAACGCTTCCCTGTGGATCGTGGCCTCTAGCTCTATTTTGTACCATCATCATCACCCCAGCCACCTTTGATAGTTTCTAAAAGTACAAAGAGCTACATACATAATTTAATCAGGGGAAAAAACACACACCATTCTTCCTCCCCCCCTAAATATACTAGACACAACAAGGATTTTCTTTTCTTTTTTCCTCAGTATTTATATATATATATTTATATTACGTATATTATATATATATAATATGTAAATATATTTCTTAAAACAAATATATAAAATGTTAAGACACTTCACTTAAATGTAAAGAGGTTGCTTTTTTTTCTTCCATGTTTGTTTGCTGCAATCCTAAGAAATTGCATTTATGGACTGTTGTTTGTTGCTGTCTGTTGTTACATATTTGATTTTTTTGACTTTTTTTAAAACTTTGTTATTCAAAAAAAGGCTCTCTTAAAATCTTTATACAAAAATGATTGATTTACAAAAAAGAAAAAGAAAAGAAGAAAAACCATAAAAAAACAATTCCCCGCAGCGTTCCCCCCCACCAAAATATTCTGAGAATAATAGAATTAAAAAGGACGAGCTAGTCAACAAAACAAGGAGTGATTACATCTTGTATTATGTTGCATACAGACTCATTTCTTTTCTTTCACTTTTTACAGTAGCACGCCATTTTGCTATACATGTAGAGGCACGTTTTCACATGTGCACCCATGCCACATTAATATATTTCTTCATTTTCTGCCTGTGCTTAACGTTTTAGGCCAACCAACCTGCTCCAGCCTGGCGAGCTGCGGCTGTTTTGGAATACAACTCCCATCGGCACGCACTGGCTGGGGCTGATGGGAGTTGTAGTGCAATACATCGGATGGGCACCAAGCTGGTGAAGGGTGTTTCCTGTTCATTCAATGACTCTTGTGCAGGATGACCTTGCAAGGAACATCCTCCCACCCCGGACTGCCATTCCGAACACACACCTACGTATTGTACTATTAGCTGAAGAAAGCCTCCACGGCTACAAACTCTCCCCGTCTTTCTCGCTGGCCCCGACAGTGTTTCACGTTCTGCCTTTGCGACTCAGCTGTTGACATACGACATCCTTTCCTCCCCCCACATCCCCACGCCTCACTTGTATCTCCCTCCTTGTGCTGTCATCGTTATCCTTTTTCAACGCCTCGCTGTGCTTCCCGCAGCCCAAATGCCACGCGCAACCTTTCAGGGGAAAAACAAAAGCTTCCACCTCTCGCAGATCGAGAATAAACACAGCTCTAATAACCCACCGAACCTTTCGCCCAAAGCTGTTTATCCCCACTTTCCAAGCCCAAGAGAAAGGTCCCCAGAGGTATAAACTTGAGCTTCGTGGCCAATCACCCCATCGGCAGGACTAAGCCTTCTAAAGAACCCCCTCTGTGCCAGTCTTATTTAGGGGCACTATCCAATGGGGAATTCTCCTGTGCAAACCCCACTGAAACAAAGGACTTTCCCAACAGTCCTTTATTTCGCTCTACAGCCCTGTCATCCTTTTCTCCTGGCCTGGAAAAAGCTCCACAGGCGGTTGGGTGTAATTTCTGCCCATGCCAGCCATCCTGGCTACGCAGTGCTTTTCTTTTTCCAGCAAGGCTCCATAGTCCATCCTAGGAGGAACCTTTGCAGGAACTGAGCAAAGGAGAGTCGCCTGTTCACCTGCCTCCACTGTCTTTTGCCCACCAAAACCTCATGCTTAGAAAAGGGCCTAATTTCACCTCCTTCAGCCTTCTCCAAATTCTCCCCAAACTCTCCTTCACCGCCCAGTTTCTTTGATACCCTGACACCATGGTCTCCCTGAAACCTGCCTCCTCTATTTGGTATTCCACACGTTTTGAGGGCTCATCCCCCCCATCTCACATATATAGTAACTCAACGGACATTTAAAGTGCTACATTATGTTGATTAATTCCATAGGAAGCTGGACTTTTCTCTTTCCGGACCCTGTTCTCAACATCGTTCTGCTGCCTGCTTTGGCTCTGTGCCCCTTCTTATAACAGTCTCCTTTCCCCTTTCTTAACAGTACGTTGCTTCTGCATGGTTGAGAAGATTGTGAGGGGGCAGGGGGAGCGTTATTACAGGCTCAAAATTCAGTGCTCCCTCCCCCAAGTCTTTTCTTTTCTTCCAAATTTAATCCAATGGCTTGGAAGAAAGAAAGAAAAAAAATACACAACACCACACACAGATATTTCGGTTTGCGATGCGCACGCACACACACAAGTTCCGCCCCACTTTCCAGAACAGTCTTTGATACAGCAAGTAAACAACAGAATCCCACAAAATGGAAGCATACACATGCCCCAAAGTCAAAACACCATTGATTCATGAATGACTCAGCACACACCTACAAGGATCCACGTTAATCAATTAATTACAACTTTTTTTCTCTCTCTTCTTAAATGTAAGGAAAGTTGAATAGCAGCAAATGTCCATGGGGTTCTGAGGCATCTTCAGAAATTGGTTGCTCCCCTCCCCTTTTATAAGCCTCTGTAGTGATTCTGCCCCCTTTCTCCCACCCCCTCATAAAGGAATAACGAAGACTGGCACTGAGCAGTGTCGTCGTTGCTTGCAGGCTGCGGCAACTGGCAAAAATATAAATAAAAATAATTCTTGATTGTTCTTTATACATGAACAACGCTAAGTTGTTGCCAGAGTAGAAAAGTTAAGTTTGGGATGGATGGGGAGTGGGGCAAAGGAAGGGGTTGGGAGATCTGAGGGGAAACAGAAAACAGATGGGCAGCCATATTGTAGCAAGAGGGGAGGAAAAGAATAAATAGGTTGGCCAATTTGGGGGAAGAAGACAAGAGAGCAAACTAAATTGGCCATTCTGGATATTGGTAGGCGGCCCTGTGGGGAGCAAGAACCAAGTCCCAAGGCTGGCCATTTTGTAGGAGGAAATGAGAACCGCAGGGCGGCCATTTTTGAAGGAACATTTTAAAACGCCTGAGGGGAGGGACTTTTCTAGGTGCCTCAGTGAGACCTGGGGAGGAGGAAATCACAAAGAGAGACAGCAAGCACTCCCCAGTCCCCCAGTAGCAGTAGGTTAGGAAAACAACCAAAGGAGAAGTTGGCAGAGGAGCTTTTAGAATGAAATGGAGGAGTTCCGTGACCCAAAGGAAGTCAGTACTGGGATGGAGGTCCTGCTTGAAGTAGGCTTTTCTGAGACTGGGCTTGAAGTCTCATTCATCGTGTTAGGGTCCTTGGTTGATCTAGCGGCCTAGAAAGAAAAGCAAGATTCAGGGAAAAGAAGAAGGAGGAGGGAGGAAAAGGAAGGTGTGTTGGGGTTGTGGGGTTGGGGAGGGGGAGAACCAAACATTTTCTTCTCAAAGGATTGCGAGACAGAAAGAAAGTGCAAAAGAAAGTGAGATAGAGAGAAAGAGACAAGAGTGGGAACTAAGTTAGGAAAAATTTCTATCAGAAACAAGCAGCATTGGCCAGGCCTGAGGCAAAAGGTTCGTTGGACAAAAACAGAGCACGAGATGAGCTGGTTTCTACAGGTTTACTGGACGAAGGGAAGGAGTGATTGCGAAAGGAAGCGGAGGAGACAAAAGAAGGCCAAAAAAGAGACAGAGCAGGGAGATGGGACGAATACGTAGGCAGGCAACGGAAAGGGGAGATGGGGAAGGGGGTGGGGAAGGGACAAGAATTGAAATGTTAGTTTGTGGCCATGGACACCATGTTAGAACGACAACAATATTCATTTAGCTGGGGTGAGGAAGGGAGGGTAGGGGCAGAGTGCAGTTTACCACAGAGGTGCTGTTTATCAGAGGTAGCCTCAAAACATCTATTCGTTTTATTGTTCACCTATGGGTACCATTTTGTTGTAGACTGCATCCGTAGCTAGCAGGCCAGAATTTGGACTGGGATGGATAAAGGGAGGCAGCTTTCCATTTTAATGATAAATCTTGTTAAGTATGTATCCCTCATAGTTGACATGGGGGTGGGGTGGGGTGGCAGAAGGGAAGGAACAAATTGTGAAAGACATGTGAAAATAAAATACAGCCTAAAGCCAATCTGAGCGAGCGGGCTTTCATAGAATCATAGAGTTGGAAGAGACCACAAGGGCCATCGAGTCCAACCCCCTGCCAAGCAGGAAACACCATCAGAGCCCTCCTATAGAATCATAGGATTCTATATTTCTTCTCCTCGTGGTTATTTTAAGAAAAGGTTTTAGACGTGGGCAATTCTTGAACCCCAGAGTCCCTGCCTGAAGGAATGGCTCCATCATAACTGTTTTCCTCCACAAAGGAATACACATGAAAGTTGGAAAATCCTTGCGGGTTTTGCACAAAAGATTGGTGAGCAGGAACAGGGAGGAATCTAGTTGCCTGCCTGTTGCTCTTTGTGAAAGAACCAAAGACCAATGAACTATAAGGAAACTAATGCTTAAAGTCCAATGCAGCAGGAGGAACCCATATCCTAACACCCATCCATTCTAGGGATGGATATATGACTAGAAGTAACCCTAAGAAATCCTCCATTCTCACAGATATAGGTAATCACAATTAATTGAAGCAGATATTACTCCAACCTGCTTGTAAAAGACCTCCAAGAATGAAGGTTCCACAATCCTTCATGCATGCTCCTCCAAGCACATTCCACGGTGGAGGAAATTGTTTATAGCCGAACTAACCTCCCTTGTTGGTTCTAAAACTGCTGGTCATGCCAATTGTGTGCTCACCTCCCACTGGCTGCCATTTTGATGCAAAGGGGATCCAGAAGAAGAATCGCAAAGTACTGCGTACTTTGTCATAGGAAGTTCCCAACAGCTCGCTCCTGCCATCTCAAACCCAACTTCAGCTCTAGTTGCACGAGGCATGCGTGGTCCTTCAGCACCCTTGCATGCAGATGCAAAGCAAATGCGCAACCGGCTCATGAAAATATTATCGGGGAAGGCGTACCCTGAGAAATGTTCCATGGCTTACCACTTAAGCAAACAACACCTCTGCTTTGTGGCA